AAAGGTAGTCCATGACGTAAATGTACATAAATAAATAAAAAACATGTCTCTAGGTTACACGTTAGAAGTAAAACCTTTAGAAAAGTAAAATTCGAGAAAAAGAGACGAATCAGGTTGTTTCGTCTCTTTTTCTCGAATTTTGCATGCGGCTCAACTGATTGTGACTACCGCCGCCCATGAATAACTGCAATATCAAGGGAATTGTAGATGCGTTGCCGACCTTTTAAAAAATAATAATCTCTTTCTTGAAGTTTCCTAAGTCGTATCGGTCCGAAAAAATCGCTGGTGGTAGTGGATTCCACAAATAAGTTGTGCAAGGAAGAAAACTTCTAGTAAAACGCAGTGGTGGACCGCCGATAGCCCAAATGGTATGGGATGGTATCGCTAGTTTGGTCGCGATGTGCGATGTTAAAATTTATAGGCTGGAATGTTTTTTTTTGAACACTCTCCGTGGTAGATGCGATGCGAAATGCAACATCAACAGTTCCAGCGAGTCAAGCCAATCAAATAGAACTCCGAATATTATACTTGAATAGCTTACATAACCTCGATGTACGCACATGATTATTTACAGTACTTGAACTTTGTTCAAGCATCAGTATAGGACAAAAGGAATAGAAAAATATATAATTTTTTGTTTTCAATCTTTATTCGATGACGCACTAAGATATGTACAAACACGTAAAGGCATTAAACCTTTCTGATCGATAAGTGTATCACGTAACCTATAATAACAAATTATAACGATAAAAATAATGGAATCTGGTAAAGTTTTGATCATCACCATTAATGTCCACTGTTGAATATAAGCCTCTCCCAAAGAATACTATAAAGCAAGATCCTTAGCCACATACATCCATAGACTTCCTACATCTCTTACCACATCGTTATTCTATCTAGGGGTGCTACCCTATACTTCAATCGCCGGTACGGGGCTGCGATTCGATAATCTTTCTGCCCCAACGGTTGTTGGTTCTTCAAGCCATATGGCTGGTCAACAACCATTTCAGCTTACTGATTATGCTTACTTAACGTTTGACATTGTCAGTTACACTGGTTCTACTGCATTTACTCTTATTACCAACTCTATCATGCAGAGAAGCTCGGAGCATAGCCCTCTTTAGAGTAACCTTGAGTTTCCCCATACGGCCAGCAGTGAAAGACCACAAGATACTTATATCTATGTCTATATCTATATATTATTACTGGAAACACAGTGGTTATACATTCTTTTTTGCAGGTTTAGAGATTTACGTGACTAGAGCCTAGCCGAATTAATATAACCAGTAGTCGACTGGTACTGTAGCACCGTCAAAATGCGATGGAATCAAAAGTTTTCCATAGACCACATACGGAAGACAAGTGGTAGATTGGTCTCTTTGTAAAATATTCTCGATCTTTGATTGTTCTTATTTGGAAATTTCGTTCATTTTGTCTGTTTTTTATTTCACACAGTCCACCTGATTGTAAGTGGACGCTGTGGTTCGTAGACATCTACATTAATCCTTAATTAAGAATCAAAATGCAGATGCGTTGTCTTCCCTGAGGACTGAGATAGCATGCATCGTTATCAGTAAATAGAGCCTCCGATTCTCCACGCTCACTATACCAACACAGCAGTATTGAGCTATTTTACGCTGGTATTCTGTGAGAGCGTGGTACTTCCGGTCGAGCCGAACCATTCGTGCTACAACTATATTACTACTTATATAACTGCAGCATGGCTCTACCTAATTTTATCTGTATTAAAATTGATATTGTTATTATATTGTTAGGTGCATGTTCTCATAAATAATATTTTAAATACATAAACCATCAGATGGATTAGGTTTTATTTATAGGATGTGGGGGACAAACGAGCACACAGTCCACCTGATGGTAAGTGGATGTCGTAGCCCATAGAAATCCACATTTATCCTCTGTTAAAAATTTAAATGCAGATGCATTGCCAGCCTTGAGGACTAAGATGACATGCCTCGTTTTCAGTAAAAAGGGTTTCCGGTTCTCTACACTCACCATACGAAACACAGCAGCATTGGACTGCTATTTTATTTAAGCCGACCCATTCGTACTACAACCATAATATGGCTGCAGCATGGCTCTATCGCGTATATAAATCGTCGGTCCAGATGAATAGGGTATTATCTCAAAAACAGTGATTTTTCAGGAGAGCATTTTTTAAGTTTCATCCAGGAATAATTTAGCCTTTATTATTATTTAGCCGACTTGACCTGTATACATTTTAAGCCTACATATTTGACAATATTTCGCAATTTATTTTACTTATATTTAGCTAAGTGGTTTTGAGAAAATCCTGAAATTATTCAGAAAGGTGTATAATAATACCCTTTATAACATAAAATATTTGTAAATCAAAGTTTTAACTCAAATTTATTTATTTCTATTAAATTGAATTCTGGGGTTCCATTACTATTATCCATATATTTTTTGTGAAATTTGTTGTAATTAGTAATTATTTTACCGTTAGTATTTATTTTCACATTAATAATTTAATTATTATGTTTTGAAAAAAATAAAATCTATTGTATTACCTTGTTTCTTAAATTTTTAGTACTAGTTCAAAGATAATACCGATTGAAAACCAAAATATTGTTATAAAAAGTCTTTATTGTGTCGTACAAATTATATAACTCGTGGTAATCTTAAGAATCATTACAATAACCAAATTTCTTGACACCATGTCTTTCTGTATTATTAATATTTTGTCGTGGTTGACATTGGCAGAGTAACTAATAGGAATAGTTACATTGATTAAAACTACTTTTACGGATTTTATCGCGTTTTATTTATTTTAATTTTAATACCCGACGTTTCGGGTGCTTTCCAGCACCCATGGTCACGGGGGACTGAGGTGACTGACGTCCCGATGTCAAAGTTAACCCGGAGTACCTTCAGCTTTTTAATTATTGTCTTTGGTCCGATCTACGCAGAATGAACTAACTGTATTTTGAAGTCTTGCAGTGGTATGCTTGGGTTAAGTTTTAATTTTATTAATTATATTATCCCAAGCAGGTGGTAGTACCCAGCCTCCTTCTCTATTGAAATTAGGATGTTTTTTAATTTCAATCAGCCTCACGTATCATTCTTGGTAGGAATAGATGTTCTTTCGCGAAGATTTGTGGTCTATCAAATCTGATGTAATGGTTGGGGCCATCTAGAATATGATCGCAAACTGCAGACTTCCCGGAACGTTGATGCTTCACGTCAGCTATGTGTTCTTTTACGCGGGTTCTAATTGATCTGTTTGTTTGCCCTGTATATGAGAGACCACAGTCACAATCAAGCTTGTACACTCCTGCATCTTGTAGAGGAATATGACACTTGACGGATGGAAAGAACTGACTAATCTTCTTCGGCGGCTTGTAGAATGTTCTAATAGAAGCTCGCTTGAAGATGTAGCCAATCTTGTCTGTGACACCTCTGACATATGGTAGTATAGCAGGCACACGCTCGACTGTGGCCGGCTTAACTCGGTCACTGTGACGGAGGCGCGGGACTCGAAGCTTGTTGTCATGCAGAACCTGCTTGACGTGCTGGAGCTCGGCGGCCAGGTGTTTGCTGTCACAGATCCCTCGTGCTCTCTGAAACAAAGATTTGCCCACGGTAGCTAACTGTGAAGGATGATGGTGAGATTCACCATTTAAGTATCGGTTTGTATGGGTCTTTTTTTCTATACACAGTATGTACGACCTATGGTGTTGTTAGGATTTCGGATGACTAACACATCTAGGAAAGCTAAGGAATTATTTGCCTCTAACTCCATAGTAAATTAAATTTTAGGGTTTATGGAATTAAGATGTTCTAAAAATGCAGTTACTTTGTCTGATGGTAAAATTGTGAAAGTATCGTCTACGTACCGCTTGTAGAACCTTGGGGTAACAGGTGCAGTAAGGAGGGCTTTCTCTTCAAAGTCTTCCATGAATATATCGGGAGATACAGGTGAGACTATCGCAACACCATCTACTTGCTTGTAAAACTCTTCCTTCCACAATAGATAGCCAGATTTAAGGCAATGTCTTAGTAGTACTGCATATTCTGGTGGCATGTTATTTTCATCTAGTTTCCTAGTTATAATTGAGATGCAGTCTTCAACAGGTAGGCATGTAAATAGAGACTGAACATCAAAACTGACCATGGTTTCATTGTCAGCAAGACGTAGGTCCTTTATCTCACTGACAAAATGGTATGAATCCTTAGTATGTGCTCTTGTGTGTCCTCTGAGTAGTGATAATATTTTGGCTAAGTGTTGAGCCAATCTGTACGTTGGCTAATCGATTTGACTCACTATTGGACGTAATAGAGCGTTAGGTTTGTGTATTTTTGGTAACCCATACAACTTGGGAGGTTTTGCACACGAAGGTATCATCGAATTGACGTCTAGATTCAATTTCTCGGAGTATTTCTTAATTAGATCGCTAGTTGTTTTAAGCGTATTAGTTGTAGGGTCTGTTTTCACCTTACGGTATGTACTTTCATCCGACAAAAGTTGTTGTATTTTAAAATTATAATCCGACGTATCCATTACAACCGTAGCATTTCCTTTATCTGCGCGGAGAATCGTAAGCTCTGGTCTGTTGCGTAAGGTTTTTAACGCGTTAAATTCATTTTTGGGAAGATTTAATTTCGGCGCTGTACTTCGACGTAACATAGACGAAATGTCTTGGCGTATGGCCTCTAAATCTTCATTACCAATATTATTTTTATACAGACAATCCTCAACACTACAGATAATGTCTTCATACGGGATTCTTCGCGGTGTAATTGCATAATTAAAACCTCTTCCTAAAACTTTTAATGTGGCGTCGTCCAGAGTTTGTTTTGACAGGTTATAGACCACGCCTTGTTTACTATCCGTGTCTGTGGTCGTTTCGTTCTTACGTTGCCATTGATGTTGGACATTTGATTTAGTTGTTAATTTTTGGTATTTATCAATATATATTTATTTTTGCATTCATTGTATTTAGTTGTTTCGCGTTTATCTAAAGTTTCCATGCAATTCTTATAATCGAACATTGATGCTTCACGTCAGCTATGTCTTCTTTTACGCGGGTTCTAATTGATCTCTTTGTTTGTCCTATATATGAGAGACTACAATCACAATCAAGCTTGTACACTCCTGCATCTTGTAGAGGAATATGACACTTTACGGATGGTAAGAACTGACTAATCTTCTTCGGCGGCTTGTAAAATGTTCTAATAGAAGCTCGCTTCAAGATGTAGCCAATCTTTTCTGTGACACCTCTGACATATGGTAGTATAGCAGGCACACGCTCGACTGTGGCCGGCTTCACTCGGTCACTGTGACGGAGGCGCGGGACCCGAAGCTTGTTGTCGTGCAAAACCTGCTTGACGTGCTGGAGCTCGGCGGCCAGGTGTTTGCTGTCACAGATCCCTCGTGTTCTCTGAAACAAAGATTTGCCCACGGTACCTAACTGTGAAGGATGATGGTGAGATTCACCATTTAAGTATCGTATTGTATGGGTCTTTTTTCTATACACAGTATGACCTATGGTGTTGTTAGGATTTCGGATGACTAACACATCTAGGAAAGCTAAGGAATTATTTGCCTCTAACTCCATAGTAAATTGAATTTTAGGGTTTATGGAATTAAGATGTTCTAAAAATGCAGTTACTTTGTCTGATGGTAAAATTGTACACCGCAAGACTTCAAAATACAGTTAGTTCATTCTGCGTAGTTCGGACCAAAGACAATAATTAAAAAGCTGAAGGTACTCCGGGTTAACTTTGACATCGGGACGACAGTCACCTCAGTCCCCCCGTGACCATGGGTGCTGGAAATCACCCGAAACGTCGGGTATTAAAATGAATATAAATAAAACGCGATAAAATCCGTAAAAGTAGTTTTAATCAATGTATAGTGTTCGCGTAAATATAAGAAATCATTAGGAATCTGTTAAACAATACCGTTAATCTTATTTTATATAACAAAGATTATCGAAAAGTATGAAAACTACAAAATTAAATAGTTATTATAAAATAAACTCCTTTCATCATTGACATTAGTTAGTACCTACAATAATTGGAATCAGTACAATATGCTTTGCATCATTAATCTTATACTAAAATAACTAATACCAAACAAAGAAAACATAACTACCACATAAAATAATTATTATAAACTCAACATTATGTAACTCTTCATAATCACAAAAAAACGCTTTTAACAGCCTTTTACGAATATCTATTATCTTTAAAATTAGCTTGCAATATGATTCAGTACAAAATATTTGGCATTATTATTACAGTCTTTTAGGTAAAAATAACATTAAATATACCCATCTAACCATAATATGGCTTTGTTACTTTTTAGCTTATCCATGAAGAAATGAGAGTAATATTAACCAGTACAAAAACAACGAAAATCAATAAATATTACAGAGTTTCATAAAAAGTTCTGTAATATTGAGGAATAATATTTTTGTCAATAAAATTTAGGAAACTTTGCTTTTTTTGTTCAGGTATTTTAATTTTTTCTGTGTTGTGTTTTGTTTGTTTTTTCTGTGCTGAAGTTCAATGTTCTTTAAATTTAGTTGGTTGCGACGCCTTATATTGAACAATTTAACCCCTTTAAAATCTGTATCCAAATGGGATGTCTTGTATAGAATTAAATCTTTATTTTCACTTGACAATTTAATGATCTTCATTTCTGTTATACAAGCCCATTGGCAGTATTTTTGATAACAATGTTTTACTTATCAGCATAGCTTTAATGTCAAAAAATGAGTTGTATGACAATTGGTTTAAGACGAAGGGCTTGCCACTTACTTTTGCCGAACGATAATATTGATCTGGTGAATAAATTGCAGCAGATTTTGGTGATGCCTTAATTCTTCTTTCAATAAGGGAGTGGGCACTGTCACCTTCGTTAGCGCTATGGCTCTTTATCAAAAATTTATGACTTATTAACAATAATTTAGGAAACTTACTCAAAGCTAGCAGATAGGTGTGCAGCATGAATTTATTCTTCTGCTGCCCACAACAATTGTCACTATAAAAAGCCATGTGAAATGGTTCTGTCGCATAATTGACAAGTTTTTCTGGATACTTCCAGATACAAGAAGCAATTTCATTCACTCCTCTGTGGCCATCTCTAACAATCTAACCAATTCTGGTATTTTAAGTTAATTTCCATGTTTACCTCTTAAGTCACCTGTAACCACGTTGCTTGTATTAGGGTCTTTCTTTTTCAGTGCTGTTTTTATGACTTTATCATTGGTACTAAGTGTTGACTTAAAAAATTGTTTGCAAACGCGAATCATCTTTCCTCCAATTATGAAATGATATACATAATTGTTTTGATGAGGCGTAGCAGCGTTTGTATAGCGATAGGTTTGACAATATCGATACAATTAACTATAAATTTCCTTTGCCTATCTAAATCAGGGAGTCGATAGAAGTTTTGGTAAATACTAATTCTCATTTCTTCTCGTATTTTAGACAATCATTTTTGACGAAATTTTTCGGTACAAGAGGTCCAATCTTCTTTGCCGGCTTCACTTTGTTGGTTTTTGTAACATAAGATTTCCCAGAATTTCTGAGTCTTTTTGCCTTAACATGTAACCAATTTTTTCATTTATTTGTCTTTTACGAGTGTTTTTTGGCAATTGTACCCCTTCAAGTAACGATGATATCATTTTTTTTTTTTTTTTTTTTATTGTTTTTTTTTTTTTTTGGGGGGGGGTTTGGTGGTTGTTTTTTTTTTTAAATTTTTTTTGGTTTTTTGGTCCACACCTTTTTTCTGCCTCTTTTTTTTTTTAAAAATTTTTTTTTTAGATCTCCGAGTCACTACATGAAATATCTGAAGATGAAGAAAAATCCGGATCTTTAACGCTGTCATCAGAGTTAACTCCAGGAAATATGGAATTTACGAAAAAACGAAGAAAAAATATCGTGTTATAATTATATACTCTCAAGGTTTAAAAAATATATGATGCATTTAGTTTGCAAATTAAAAACCGTTGTAAGGTAGCAATAAAATAAAAAATTACCTAGGTTTTCATTAGATTCACTTGAAGCTCAGACGAAATAAAAACTCGAGTTTTTATTTCGTCTGATACTTGAAGATGTAGATGAACTTGATGAGGATGAGGATGAGGATGAGGGTGAAGTGTCAGTACGGCTTCGGTCAGAAACATCTACCCTATACTGTAAAATAACCATAATAATTTAATAAAAAAAAATATCGCAAAGAAGGTATTACGACAAAATTCGTCTTTCCTTCGTCGAACCTTCAAGAATCGTATGTCCTCTCTTATATACTAAATAAAATGTACTCACGTCATTGAAGTACTATGTACTATCATGTAAGCAAACATTAAATTGTTTTTCTAACACAAGGATCAGTCGTGTTGTGAGTTATGAGTTAATTATAGACCCAAACCATTGCTTTGATAAATAAATTATTAAGGAAAAACGAATGGAACAATTTGTTCTTAGATGCTTCCGACGTAAAGAACGAAATACTTCTGCGGACACACAGTTATACTACTACTACTTGTGTGCCGCAAGAGGTAGCAAGCGCGACCGCTTATCATGCTCCCGAGTTCAAATCCCGGATTCGTCTAAAATAAGTTATATTTAAGGATTTGTTTGTAAAGAAATTCTCAGTAGCAACCCGGAAGTTGACGGTATTTCACGCCTATGCCTCGAAAAGCACGTAAAGCCGTTGATCCTGCGCTTGATCTCTGTCCGGTCGTGTCGTGTCAGATTACCGTCTCATCGTAGAGTCTAGGTAAATGAAAGTGCACCTGTGTCTGCTCACACTCGTGTACTAATTCTATCCCGCGCAGATGCTTAGTCACAGAGTACCTATGTATAACTGAAATGGTTAGTCTCCGTTGAGACAGGCCGCCGTCATCGAAATGAGGTCTGAATGACATTAATGGGCATTGTAAATGGTGATTTTTTTTTTATTAATCCTCAATAGTTCAATCCCGAGCATGGAATGAGATTTCTTACTTTTTTTTACTACTTTTCTGACTAAACGTCTCCTCTTATTATGGCAAGATTTCTTACACACTTCAATTTTTTGTGAATATGTTTATCATAGGAAAACAACTAGAATTACAAAGTTCTTTTTTTAGTCTGCTTGATGTTAAGTAGATGCCAAGTCTATTTACTATTTTTTATAGGATAAGGGTAACAAACGAGCACACAGTCCATATGATATAGTAAATGGATTCTATGGCCCATGGACATCTACATCAATTATCGATTAAGAATCAAAATGCAGATGCGTTGTCACCTTTGACTAAGATGGAATGCCGCTTAACCAGTAAAATGGGTCTCCGGTTCGTTACTCACCACACGAAATAGCAGCATTGAGCTGCTATTTTTCGCTGGTATTCTGTGAGAGCGTTTTCCTTCATGGTTCGAGGCGACCCATTAGCGTCACACCCATAATGAAGGTTTAGCATGTTTACCACGTTTAAGGTGGACACGGTACAAGATATTCATTATAGTTACCACACTCGGCAAGTGAGTCGGCGACGATAGTTTTCAATTTTATGTTCATGTAGTTATCAGGATAATTCTGTGTCTGTCTTCAAATTCAGTATCTCTCTGTCGTCTGAAATATGCAATGCCGGATGAAGCTATTATTTTTTTATTTTAATAACGTCACCCCCGCACTAGGATTATCTTATTCTATTGCACAAGGACAAACATCTAGATTCGGAACAATTATTCGTAGAACATAAAAATATATGTTCCGTGCGGAATTCGAACCCGTAATGAGACAAAGCTCATATCAGTTTATCCTTTATACTCGTACCGTACATTGCATTTGGTAAATCCGGCGATATCTCGTGCTCAAGACGCGTGCTTAGCATGCAAGAGTTGAGGACGTCCAATCCAAACGTTTCGGTAAGCCCTCAGAGATATTTATGCTCACTGTTTTTGACGCTTATGTTTCCTTGTACGTAAACGCGGTCCGTGTTCGTCACCATCAGTCTATTTAGGTCTTGGCTGGACACTAGCCTCTCCATTAATGACTACTTTTTTATAAGTGAGTAATCACTTATCTTGATAAACATTCAAAGATATGAAACTGACGATGAAATGACTAGACGATACCATACAAGACGAAAAGACATAACCAATATCTTAAAAAGAAAATTACAGGTTTTTAAACAAAGCGTTAGAAACCAAGTTACAAAACTATTTAATAGACTACCTAAAACCCTGAAAACCATAAATAATGTTAACATATTTAAATAAAGGTTAAATATTTTTTAATTGGAATAAAGTTTCTATACAGTAAATGATTACTTAGTAATATTGCAAACGTAATTTAAATATTAATTAATTTCAAAACATTTTGAAGTACACACGATTAATGTTAATTAATTTAATTTTATATTTTATGTTTTAATTATGTTTTCCCACATAATTTTTCTTAAAAATGTCGCTTCAGTTTTATAAAAATAATACAGCGTTTTTATAAAAAAAATCGGCGTCCTTCATAGATCGTCTAAGAAGAGAAAAATTTGCTAATTATGTCACGCCTGGCAAGCAGGTTGGCAACCATATTTTTTTATTATTTTAAGTAGTTATTAAG